AAAATTGGTCGTTAAAGCAACAATTCCAGATCGAATTCGCGGGGTAAAAACGGTCGATAATGAAGTTGTAGATGGCGAGTTGACTGCTAATGGAAAAAATCAAAGAAAACCGCTGGTGAAGCTTCAAACAGGGACTCCCCCTTTTCCCCTTTGAAATGAAAGGGCGTGTCGGACGAGCTGTCTGAATTAGCTCGCTCCGTCCGCATTTCTTGCAGGCTTTGCATCAACAAACAAAGAAGTGCGATACTGAAAGAGTAACAACTATAACCAACCAAAAAGAGGCAGCATTAATTAAACGCGGTACAGTTACACGCAATCGCGCAAGGACCCGCATCGAAGCACGCGATCTCCACGGCTGGCAAGTGGGCGTTGCGGCAGATTTGCCGCACGCCCACTTCGAAGGCGTTCAACTCCCTTTCTAGCGGCTTTCCAAGGTGAGTTTTTTGTTCAGTCACACTTCTTATGTTCTTGACTAGGGCTAGCGCATCATTTCCACACCATTAGTGTCGAAGGTAAAACCCTGCTGGGACTGTTGCTTTAAACGTTATAATTCCTAACGAAGTCGCGGATTTTACTGGAACAAGTAAGTGTAGGCTGGAGGGTGTTCATATCAATACTGTGCGACTTGTGTAGAAGAATTCACAATTAAACTTTTTATCGTGAACTTTCTACAAAAGCTAGTGATGATTGTGACGTCTATGAAATTTTTAGATATTTACATCGGTAACGCTGTAGCGTTCCGTCCAATACCCGGTTTGACGATGTCCAGTGATTTCGGCTCACCTTCATCCATTTTATAGCGAATGATGGATGCCTGTAAATTTACAGTTGAAACGTTGCAAAACAATTGAATTCGCCCAGTGAAGCAACAATTGTCCTTTTTACCTTCCACGGTAGCATTCCAAGAGGTGAGTGAACCCACTACAAAGGAACGTTACGCCGGGAACCATCCCTTGACAACACGCGAGGTGAACCGCGCGTTGCGCAGATTTCAAAAATTTCACGACCCTCTTTTAGCAGGAGGCATCGATGTAACGCCACACCGTATCAGCTTCAGGAGCCCATCCCACACAAGAAAATCGCCATTTCAGACTGCGCCCAACTCACTGCAACCATGGTACAATCCGGCGTAGCTCAGAAGATGGAGGTTGTATTTTGCAATTTGGAGAAGGGGTATCGTATTTCTGGAAGACAAATCATTTAACCAAAGCGTGTGTGTGTGGCAAGGAGGCGGGGGGGAGGGGTTGTATATCTGAAATCAGACAGACACCACAATGTTAACCCTGCTTTGACACGATTGAATCGAGCAAACGGAGTAGCTCGAGATGAAGTGTGAAGAGATTGGTTCAACACATCTCCTTTAGCCTTCAAGCTTGCACCTTACAGTCACATTTGTGGGATTCTTTGAAGGTTCACTATACAATAATTTTTAGAGCTTGTCCAGAGTTCAAGTCGCAGTATTCGCGTTTGCGAGGGATCTGCGCTGATTTAATCAGGACGAGGGGAGAACTGCCGCTATTTCGACTCTTGTGACCTTCATTCATCCAAAAAATTGACTTTTGCTTTTATGGAAAATTCACTGAGTCGATTGGTGACCTTTCTCCTTCATGGCCGGAACCGAGCTTTCCTCTCCGCGAATCTTCCCTCCCCGCTTTTTGCCCTCTCCCTCCCAGTGTTTGAAATGTGCCTTTGTTCTTGACGATGTTTGATTGAGCGAGTTCAAGAAATATAAGTGAAGAACTACATTCATTCCTTGTATGGTCATAGCCGCAGCATAGTTTCTGAAGTTGTCCAGGTAGGCGACGGCCGAGACGATGGTCACCACTTCTTTTGGATAATTCAGGAACCCTTCGTCGACCTGTGATGAAACAATCAGTAAATTTCTGGAATCATGAAACTCTCCTAAAAGAAGAATTCGCCAGCTGGAAAGGATTTCAAATTGGCTTGCGTAGGCAGTGAGTGGTACACTAAAGAAGGAAAACTATGAGAAACGGCCCAGAACCCGAGAAATGGGACCCCTTCCTTGCCCGTTGATTCGCGCATTGATACGACTCTCATCGCTGTGCCTCTTCAACACTTTACTCTCTCAGCTATCTAATCACTCGCCACGTATAGACCTGCGGCGAGTGATCAGATGATCGGTGGCGCGTACACGGCCACGTGCAGCTCCACTAGGATGGCCGTATAGGTCGCAGTGGGTCAAACTTTGGTGCCATTTGCGCATCACTCCGAACCCACAGCAGGTCCGCGGGTTCCTCAACTAGGTGAATTACTCCTTCTTCGGCCTTCATTCTAATCGTGATTCATACTTTATACAATGAAGGAGCATAGATCGAGATCGTATCAACAGCGCAAGTGTGGAAGTAGAAAGCAAGGCTCGGATTTATCGACTGGCAGAGTGGCTACCCACCAACTGCCGCCCTCGCACAATCACAGCTAATCCGTTTGCTTTGCAAAATGCCGAGCACTGCGATTCGGTGAATGTCGGTATTCCGTCGTCAGTGGTCACTGGATTGGCTTCCAATTTCATAACTGACCATGCGGCTTCCTGAAAAGACAACTAGGGAAAACGCAGTTCAGGGGGCACTCATATCTAATCGAAGTGGTGTTCAGAAAGGCACTCATATCTTATCAAACATATCATCATATCTTTCACAGAGACGGTGGTCTACGACCTCTACGTCTGCTTGTTATCCTTGTTGAGCGAAAATGACTTCTACCTTGCTGACTCTTCATTTTCACCCTGCGATCGCCCTGCAGGCCGTCGAAGAAAGGGCCTTTCAGGTATCCGATTTTGTACGGAATCCCGGGTTGGTATCCCTATCTAATCGTACACTCAGAGCCTGTGCTCTGAATGTTGATTAGATATGAGTGCCCTTCCGCAGCTCCACTTTGATTGAGATATTGGCCAACTCCAGTTTGATACTGATATTATATTGATATTGCCACTTCGATCAGATATTATGTGTGCTTCCCCCCCCCACTCTCCCGAACTACATTTTCATCGACAACTTATCTGGTTAGACCTTCCTCAGAAATGCTACTGATTGGTGCTCGACTTATGGGACAGCAATGTCTGAACTCACCATGCAGATAGATCTGTCCACTTGGCTCATCGACACTCTGGAACATGCCTTCAAGGCTGCCAGACCATGTTCACGAATGACTGGACCTGGTCCACCGGGAATGCAGAGGATTTTTGGACCGATCATCGCTGCTATTGGCATCGATGCTACCGTACGCTGCAGTTCTTCAGATTATCGTGCTTCCTTTAACTATTATTTCTTACAACATCTCACCATTACAGTATCGGAAACCTTTGACACCGACTCTTGTGGGATTCGTCTCCGCGCTAACCACTCGTCCAGTCCCAAACTCTGAAAGTTGGCATACATCACGCATCGCTCAAGTCTTTGGTTCCATTTCTTGTACCTTGATCGATGCAGGCTCTTCGAGATGGCCTTTGAGTAGGTAAACTTTTGTTGGAAAAAGACATTTCATACAAAAAAGCAGCATTAAACTTTCCAGGGGCGCTGAAATAGTCAATTATCAGTGGAGATATCAAGATACCAGCCACGGAATTGCTGGGTCACACAAACCGAAGCCGAGCCCAAAGTAACATCGAGAAAGCAGAATGTTCTTCCTGCGGTGGCCTTGCCTACGTAGTGAAAGCAAAGTGATCGGGATCACCTTCGCATATATTGGTCCATTACCGTAACTCTCCTAAGATGTGAGGGTCGTATTTTTTTTATTAGGATCTGACACTCACAACCATCCTTATCTCTCTTTATCACACTCAGTGTGGAACCGAACAGCTGGACAAGCGAAGGATCTGCGGAAAGGATTTGAGGTCCGGGGTTTATTCCAGTCAGGGGGTGCATCATGATGCAACTCTTGACGAACTATTGTGAACTTGAGCATTGCACTTTCCAAGTATGCCAAGTGACGCCCTCACCCTCCTATCGAAAGACGTACAGTCCACCCTGGACATGAAGTTTCCCAGATTTTTGGAAAATAGCACCTTATGACCAACGCTAACTGGAACAGGACCAGAGATCGCCAGTAATCCATTTGATTTTGCTCCGAAAGTTGAAACGTTTTTTTGCAATGAAGGGGTATGTCGAAAAAATTGGCGATCCAACAATCAAATCGTAGATCAACTCATCGTTATGGGGAAGATTAGGTGCATTTTCCGTTGTCGCGACCTGTCGTTATAGAAAACATATCGGCATAAGATGCATCAATAAGACATATAAAAGCATTTGCCGTTTGATCAATCCCTTTTTGGGATGCGGCACGCATTCTACTTCCATTTGTACATTCGTAGTGGCGTTTGAATGCGATGTGGCCTATACAATGACTTGCGGGGGCCAGCCGATGTACAAGTCAGTGTTTTTTATCCTCCCAGACAAGTCTGGTACCAATTAACCGACCCCGGAGGGATGGAAGGCTTGGTTGGCCCGGGCGACTCACGACCCAGGATTTGATCCCCGGACCGCTCGCGTGGTGAGCGTGCCACTTGCCACTACACCACTTCCGCCCTAATCAAGAGATATGCGACAATTTTGTGCAGCATTGCCATGCTGCTTATGTCCGAGCAATATAAAACCCATCCGGCCGCGGGAAGAGGATTAATTATTTGGACTACGCTCACTAAGCGCTTCAGGAGTAATGTTAACCTATTAACACGTATCTCTTCTTTTTCCTAGACTACTTTTTTCAGGAGGCTAGACTAATTAAGTGAGATACCTTGGTTTTGGCAAGATCACTGGTAGTACGCAAGATCAAGATTAAATTGTTGTGGTAATTCCACCCAAATATGAAAGCAGGAATGCGAACTGGATTGCAAGGGGAGAAAAAAGAGTGGAAATCGTCAGAAACAGGAAATATGAGCTCTCTTGCTTTACGCTGAAGAGAATATTATGAGGCAGGTAGGGAAATGAGAGGTAATGTGACTCACGGAGAGGGTAAGAGAGTCTAACCGTGGGCGGCCCCTGATACTGTGGGTGGGATATGATCAAAGTCCTTAGCGCCTAGCGACCTTGTGTGCAAAGGTGGCACGATCTCTGCAGCGGTGGGTCACACACCTCTACTCACATGAGCGACTACTTCATGGGAATGAGCTCGGAACCATGCCTTCAAAGGGAGGATTCCACGATAAGGACGAGGGCTAATGAAGGGAAATTACCTAGTGGAGAGACAGGCGGACCTTCTAAGGTGCGGACCGACACGCAATTCGCATCGAAGGATATGCCCGGCGATCTAGCATGGCCTTCCCGCGGCGCAATTGGCGCGCTATCGGCGCGGTACGCCCCTCTGTCTGAGCCTCTAGCCGTTTGGCAGAGAGAGAGAGCGTTAGCGTTGAAGAGGGCAGCACCGATGAGAGTCAAATCAATGCGGAAATCAAGGGGAAAAAGGGTCCCATTCCACGGGTTCTAGGCCGTTTTTCTGTCTTTTCTTTCTGTGTTAGCCAGCTTTTAGATCCCCGTTTTCCTTCCCGTTCCTGGACTTGACGCTTAGGTGACCCCCAAAGCCGAAGTACCCCCTCAGTCATGTATGAACGCTCAAGACTGCATGAGATCCTTTAGACAAACTGAGCGTTCTCTCTCACTGAGTGCGGCCTCTCTGTACAGTTAGGCTGCTTTCATAGTTCGCATCGGTGCGGTCGGTGCCGACGGCGCCGACGGCGCCGACCGCACCGACAGTGTGAAGAGCGTCAATACGCGCTCTGGCGCATGACGCGTACGTTGGGCAC